TTGAGTGTACTTCCCTTTTAAGGCACTTAGTCAGTTGGTCCTTTGACGTCTTTTAAAACTTTTATTTTAATGTTAACATTTACTGAGTTTCTTCTAATGTGACTAACGACACATCGTAACTCTTCGGTTTCATCTATTTTAGTATGATTATTTAGATACGTTTTTACTTTAAGTACAGTCTGTTTTGTTTAATTGTTTGTTTGTTATGGATTTCGCGCAAAGCTACACGAGAACTATCTGCGCTAGCCGTCCCTAATTTAGCAGTGTAAGACTAGAGGGAAGGCAGCTACTCATCACCACCCACCGCCAACTCTTGGACTACTTTTTACCAACAAAGAGTAGGATTTACCATCACAATATAACGCCTCCACGGCTGAAAGGACAAGCATGTTTGGCGTGACGGGATTCGAACCCGCGACCCGCAGATTGCGAGTCGAGCGCCCTACCACCTGGCCATGCTAGGCTCTGATTTGTTTAAATAACTTACTCTTGAATTACATTCAAGTGTTAAGCACAAAGCTACCCAATGGTCTATCTGTGCTCCGCCCACCTCGGGTATCGAAACCAGCCAGTAGGCTTACCGCTAAGCCACATATCTCGATTCGTTGTACAAGAACAGGACTTAATTAAAAATTGTTTTGAGCTTTTTCTATCATAACCCAAAACTAATGCAGCGTACTGTACGATGTTAAAGATTTGAATCATACTAGATTATTTTTTTTTCTTAAAGCTATTTGTATATTCTTAATACCGTAGTTTCTCGGATATTTTGGAGAAATAAAAACGTTCCTTGATTATTTTTTTCTGCTTCTAGAATAAAGCGAAGACTAAGAACTACTTAATGTGATACAGAATTTGTAATAAAGAACGTGTTTTTAGTTCTATCTAACGTCACCTGTTGGATGGATCATGTTTGTCTCCTGATACATGGAAGGATCGCAGAAGAGATGTCCAACTAAATAGAGCTAAATTAGTCTTTTAACAGTATGAAAGTTATATTTCCAGTTCGAACTACTAATTTCATATGTCAATCATTTGCCAGTCTGAACCGGGCGTCATCTAATGGTGCATTTAAGGGTCCGTAGTTAGGGGGCCCGGCATGGCCAGGTGGATAAGGCGCTCGACTCGCAATTTGAGGGTCGCGAGTTCGAATCCCCGTCACACCAAACATGCTCGCCCTTTCAGCCGTGGGGGCGTTATAATGTGTCGGTCAATACCACTATTCGTTGGTAAAAGAGTAGCCCAAGAGTTGGCGGTGGGT